TCTCACTTTGTCTCTCCAATTGTATTGGACAAAAGCAACCGTCTTGTGATTACCTTTAGCTGTATTTTTCTATACTGTTAAGACTTCCTTCTGTAAGATTATTCTTTAGTACTGCTGTGTTAAAAAGACAAAATTTTCGCTACACATCGCTACATCCCACTTTTAATATAAAATCACTGGCTAAAACAATATTACGTTTTATGTGTAGAACGATCTACCAAGTTGTTTTTAAAACGTAAACACATTTCATGATTTTAATAAAAAATGTTAACACCTGGGATCACTAAAATTTAAAAAACGCAATGTGTAATTGAAGGCTACGTTTTTAACAGTGTAATGTTGGTAATCTGTTTTTTAATCTCATACTAAGTGAGCGCAAAACATCACTTTGTGAGGGAACGTCGCCATGGATTATAAGTCGAAAAAGACTGTAAACAATTAAACTGGTGTAAAATTTAATTTTTTAAAAACAATAACTCACCGCGTCGCTAACAATACTAATCAGATACACTATTTTAATATGCCTATAAACTTGAGCAGATAAACAGAGCAATAAACAGAGCAATTAAAATGCAGTGTTATAAAACATACTGTATGACAAACATTTTCTTTTATCTAAAATGATGCTTCCGATTGGACTTGTCATTGAGCATTCTTTTTTTTTACTAAAGATAATTTCATGTGTCAATTTACAGTAGGCCTTGTAATTCTACACGATAATGGCGTGAATAGATTTTGAGCCGGAAATAGGGGAAAAGAAATGGATTAGAATTAATTTGCCCGATGTTTTTCTCAGCCAGAACAAGGTACCAACTTTCAGCAATCGAGTCTATACCTGTATCCTTAAATGCTCCAAGGACGTCTATCGAAAGAGCGTTTACAAGACGATTGCACTTCCCTTATTGATGAGTTGTGAATCATCTATGTTGGTATTCATCTTTTTAGATAATAATGATTATAATGCTTTTTATTATTAATGATTTGCAGCTAAAATGCTTTAATTCCAGAGTATATGTAAAGAGCATTTAAGTTAATTCTTAAGAACTGCATAAAATTGCAATTGAAGTATCATTGTAACAATCCTGAATCGCAAAATGTGTTTATCAAATGCCAACTGTTGCCATTTCAATAAATTAAAACTGTTTAAACATTACACGACCAGTTTGCCGTCATAAGATTCCTCAAACTGAAACCAGTGATTAAAACCTCAAACTGAAACCATTTGAGAATGCCCATTTGTAAAGAACGTCTTTTTGTATTCACTACCGACAGCCTTTTCTAGTAATATATTCATAACGGGAGAACACAATGCCAACCCCCAGAATCAAAGATTGAGAGAGACGTTAATGGCCCTCCAGACTGATCCTTTTTCAACAATTCCAAAAGAGCTTAAGTTGTACAATATTTTACGCGACTTCCTTTAACATTTGAGAAGGACGAACAATATCCAACAGTTTAATTCTACCCACTGCGGCTTAAATCTAGAGCTGAACCAACACACCCGCATTGTGAACCTTTGTGAAAGGTTATTTCAGCAAATATCCTTAATGTAATTATAATGACAGCAAAGGGGTAATGGGTTGGTGGAAAGAGCGAGGCTAGGGGGAAACGGGTTGCAATATGTATAATTAAAGCAATAATAACTCTTCGTTTCGGCCAAAAAATGAATTTTCCTGGAGTAAACAACAATTTTCCCATACTTACCAATGGTTAATGAATCCATTTTTACATTCAAAGTTAGTCCCTGGTTTTTTTCTAAAAAGTTTGGTTTTTTGTTAAAATCTCTTAAGAGATTTTAACAGAGTATAGACATCAATGGAGGTCACGTGGTCTAAAGACAAGTTCAAATATCAGAACAAAAGCTATAACTGCTGTTTTCTTGGTAAAACAGAATATATTATATTTCTATGAGTTATTCACAAGGTTTTTATTGTGAAATATAGATCTCATACAAAGAGTTATTATCCCTTTAATTTATCTTATTTTTGAATAAAGTTAAAATATGAAAATGGAATTTTTAACACATTTAAAACATGATAACTAAAATTTAAATGGCATTGTCCTAGAAAATCGTGGTTGTTGGATCTTAGTTACAATAATAGCTGTGGTATCGTCATCATCAAAGGTTCTTTCCTCTTCAGAGACTGGGGCGTTCTGCTCACGGAATCTGATATATGCTTGAAAGTTTACTTTGCGTTCCCAGTGAAGACTTTGTTTAATGCCCTACTTTAATTTTAACAACTAAAACCGAGAGAAATCGTACAGGTGGATGTTAATGCATAACTTCTGTCACATCTTGCACCTTTTCTTTTGTTCCAGAACGCAATTACCAAATTCATCTTCTGTCTGGCTTAACATTCAGATTTTACAGCGGTGTCTCATCACACCGATGTGAAATCGATCAGAGATATATTTTAGCGCTGCATGCGCAATATTGTGGACATTATCACCTGTACGTGTAACGAAATGAAGATGAACCGGTTCCAAATAAAAAAGTGCTCTACCTGCCCCACCCAAGCTTAAATAGACTAGGCATAATGTGATAACGAGCACTAACGGGTTTACTCAAGAGTTTAATGTGTGTACCAAGTGGCAAGGGATTAACGGCCAAACACGCTGGGCTATACAATAGGGATGGCAGCAGGAGAGAACTGGAAGCACAATGGTAACAATGGATTGGTAAATATCAAACCCATTCTGGCATGTATATTAATTTGCATGTATGGTGCGACACAGTATATGTTTGAATCTGTTGACCCTAAATGATTTCCCCAATTTTGACCATTTCTAAAAAGGTGGAATATGTATGTTACTCTTCGCCTATCTCTTCTGTATAATTTCCACTGCAGGGCAGGGATTGGGTGTTTTATACTTCATATTTACGTCGATTACATCAGTTTGTACCCAAATAGCATAATAAATATGCATATATTTGAAAGATCTATACCATGTTGAGATACACTGCACATTTTAAGTTTTTACCATTTTACTTTTGTTGTTCGGAAATGCAAACATGAAATATGAATTTAGGTTATAAAGCATATTTGTACTTGTAAGTAAAATATTTCAATAAAAGGTATGCTATTTTTATAATATACATATAAATATTTCATTCATTCTCTTGAAAAAAAATTACACTGTTTATTTCGATAAGTACTTCAGATTTTGCAAATATCCATTCCACCCAGTTAACTGTTGCTTTTCACACACCACCCACTTTTTCAAATTTGTGATGAACGACAAATGCCACTTTCATGACTATAACATTTATTTATCTTCAACAAAACCCGTAAGAACACGGGCGATGATCAATACAACAAACGTCAACATCAACAGCGTTGCACCATCGTGTTTCTTTCACATACTATATATAACAAATAACATATGTGATACCTACTTCTGTCCATGCAAAGAAGGACGGCCTATGGTGTATTTAATATTGTGTCGCAAATAACTCTTTGGCAAAAAACTAGAATACTGACATTCACAATAGTTAAATTGTGAAACCTACTTTTGTAAATCTTAATAAACCATATAATAAACCACTTGTATTAATAATGTGGAAAAACTGAAAACAAAAGAAGTGACTTAAACTTCTCTATCCGGTAAAAGGCTAGACGATGAAAGCCCGGCATATATTTCTAATAACCTCACCAACCTATGTTTGGTTTGATGAAAGTGCAGTAACACGTAAAGGTTCACTCCAAGTTGGTCGTCCTCAAAAACCATTGGGTCATAGCATTATTGAAGGGTGCCAAAGTCAGCAAAAGATGCGCAAAATGGGTCCAAGATGTTCAGATAATCTGTGCATGGAAATAGGACATAGCTCGAGGGTAGATAGGCCTTGCTTTGCCCCAAATATCAAATTTTGCATCCTGCTATTGTTACTTTGTTTAAATGTGTTTAAAATGTTGAAATTTATGCTTTTTTGTTCAAACATGTTTTCACTGGTTTATTCACCACATAATATAAATGCTGTTACGGATTGAAATATTTACGTGAATATGCTTTAACATCTCTATGAACAATAAGGCCGTTGACCCCTGGTAAATGACCATGTGCATATGGGAGATTGGATCTTTAAGCAAGATTAAGATCATCTGTGGCCCACCTGAAGTCCTACAAGCCTATTCAAATTCTGAAAGGATTCACGGTTAGTATTTACCGTAATCAGTTATAGCCAATTGTGGCATATCTTAAAATTTTCAGTGATTGACGAAGAAAGTTATTTTTTGGTTGGAAATTTGGTTCCAAATTATGACAAATTTGTTACGCTGTCTGGGGTATTTTGGAACAAATGATATACGGTGATATATCGTTAATCATCTGTTTTCATCCAACCCCAATAACACTTACGTATGTGCCTTGAAACAAATCTGAAGGACAATCTTATAATCATCGCAAGCGACATATATCATTCCTCGTTTGTCTCTGGTAACAGTGATTAAGTGATCACTTGCCAATGTAGACTCACATAATCCGCTCATTTTGTCCTTTGCACATTATAATTCCAAATAAATGAAAACTTGAGTTTCACTTATTGATTTCTTATAACCATTAGCCTCTTGAGAAAAAAGTGTTGATTTGCACCCTTGCTGTACCCGATCTTATCTCTGCACTTATTACTTGTCCTCTTGGACCTGACTGCAAATAATATTTTTTTGCCATCGCCTTTTGAATTTATCCCGAAAATAAAATTTCTTCTTTACTGAGATTGGTTATAATGATAATTATGATGATTTAAACAGCATAAATGAAAGAAACACCCGAGACAAAATAAGCATAATTTGAGACAAAATAAACATCATAGAACCATGTACACCTTCAATAACGCATTGAATTTTAATTGTGTATAGTTTCCCATTAATAACACTGATTAGACTATGGATAATGATACAAACGAAGTGAAACGCCACAAGTATCCCATTTTAAGGGAGAGTGTGATTGATATGAAAATTCGCAGACTTCAGCGCTCTCTAGTGCTTTTATTACCCATTGGTTTTTGGGGACGACTACCTTGAAAGTAACCCGAATATATTGTGCTATCACGATATGATTTCAAACCAAGTTTAGCTTACCTGGGAAATAAAAACCACTGGACAAGCGTCTGTTCAGGCACAGCATCTAGTCTAGTCAAACGACTAATATTACTATATGAACATTTGGCATCAAAACACTATTCTGTACGTTTATTTATGGAGTGTGTATACAAAACATATCACAGATGTATAACATATTCTACGCTATCGAATTACGTGTGCATTCTCTTAAATCCAAGATAAAATTTAAAAAATATATACGACCCGCACAAATATAATAATAAGAGCCCTGAGATAAGTTGTTGTAAAAGTTTTTCATTATTTTGAAGAAAGCATCAGAAAGATACATACTTGGTCAGTATCTCTGAATATAATGATAACAAGGTAGGTTCGTCAAAAAACTGCATTAGGTTCCTTATATTGGTGTCTGTCATTCTTACAGCTGTATCCGAACGGACGAATTCCTAGACGTTTTGGACACGTTTTGACTTAAATAATTAGCACCACGTGTATGAGCGAGTTTTAAATTTCTATGAAATGTAACGGAGCGTCTAAGCTACTGACTCTGACAGTTCTATAAGATTGGATGTCAACATCGATATCTGTACGGGATTAATTCGAGACAATAATTGTACATATATTGGAGTGCCAACATTCATTCATTGATACAACATAAACATACCAATCCGAATATTTATCGTTCGGCCTGCGAAACGATACATCACCTTCAAGTATATTTTCATCCAATGCAAAGTCCCTACACATAACCTTCATTTAGACATGATGAAAGTCAAATCGGCTTCTTTAGAGATCATTTGTCACTTGGCCATATGAGATATCAATAACTATATGTTCTCTTACATAAAAATGAACTTTTGTTAAAAAACATTCTTTCAAATGTAAAGCTTCATCTTTACGCCACTCTTAATGATAATGACATGTTCCAAATTGCATACCTAAATACAAAATATAATGTTAAATATCAGTTTTTGGACAATTTTGTTCTAATTGCTTGGATTAGATGTGGTTGTTTTCTTTTTGCGTTACCAAATATTTTCCTTCCCCTCGTATTTGTTTTTCTGCAGCTATCGTGTGAATCCTACAATAAATATCTAACCTCATACCTTCATGTACGCCTTGAATTGTTTCCCCTAACATAAAAAACTCAACTAACACACAGGATGACGTCAGCGACAACCTCAGTCACTTATATCATCAAAAATTGTGTAACTAAAATTTAACACAATAGTATATCATATATGATTGGACAAAATATGTTTACCTTGAAATTATGTTCAAAGTTAACGAACAGAAGATGCCAAAAAATCATAATTTCATAACTTTTGAGCCCCTAGATTCAATTTAACGTCAACGATAATAAAAGCGACATGCCCTGGAATGCCATTATAGTCTAAAATCTGTTATTGATTAAGCCTATAGTGCCTTCGAATCTGGATAAGATACTTATTTGACATTCTAACCTTCACAACTTTTAACGGGTAATGATACCTTATTAAAGGTATTGGTTGTGGAAATACCAATTTAAAAACTCTTCTACTTCAGATGTATCTAGGTCTTGCATGGAACACTTCGATTACGCCCAATTTCGTAGCGGGAAATCGCTCTTAAGTGGCTACCGAAATTATGACCTGTAGCAAATAACTCTCACCAACAATGGATAGTGATATGAACCTCTATCTATGATGACCAATCACCAAGAAGTGCTTGTTATCTCAGTTTATCACCATACATGCACAGGTATTCAAACGACACGAATAACAGGAAGGGCACCAGGGCATCATCAAGCAATTTGCTTTTGAATCATTTGAATCGTGCTTTTGAATCATTCGTTACATACGTCCAGCGTCGCTCTCTCTTCCTCCAAGTCCTCAAAGGCGTTTGAAGAGGTGTCGCTCCCGGAGTCGGCGTTAGTGGACTCTCGACTGAAGGGGGTGTCATTTTCCTCTGGGGAACGGGAGCGAACTCCACCGGTTATCCCTGTAAGTTTTTCGGCTCGGAGGACTTTCTTCTGCTTCATGCGTCGATTTTGAAACCACGTTTTCACCTTAAATGTGAAATGATAATAGATAACTTTAACCAATTTATGGCATTCATGATAATTTAAGTACAATTTCCTCAAAAATTAATTAAAATCAGACAACCAGATATCTTTGCTCCATCTGACTATTACTGGACTGAATTATGTTCTGATAAATGGTCATTAGTACCTGCGTTTCTGAGAGGTTCAGCTGTGTGGCAAGTTCTATTCTCTCTGGCGTAGAGAGGTATTTCTGATTTTCAAAACGTTTTTCCAGTCCACTCAGTTGCTCATCACTGAAGACGGTTCTCGCTTTCCGACGACGGCAATGGCGAATATGACTCTCGGTTCTGTGCAAGCTTGGCAAGGGGAGTCCTATAAAACACCAGATAAAATAACACTAATATATCCGGTTATAATACTGATATTTAATATAACACATTTTGAAAGTTCAACACAGCAAATTACATGTGCTACTGCATTTTGTACGGCATCTATAAAACAAACTTATTTATTATCTTAGTTCTTATTAGTTACTAGCTTGGTTGCTATGATATTATGTTAGTGAATTATATTGGCTCTGCAAACCCTGCAAAGAACCAATGCTGCATGCACTACACTTTTTGAAATACATATAATATCTAATCAGATGGTTTATCAAAATGTTTATCACAAATCACAGCAATGTGATGCAAAATTCAAGTACCACCAAACAATACTTTTGATAAAAATTGGAAGAATCATACTGAAATCTTACATTGCAAATCAAGATTTTTCAAAAACTGTAAATTTACCCAGCTTAGAAACAAGACGCAGAAGAAAATGAATGTAGCATATTTTTCATTCAACTTATTTCTTTGTGGCATACCAGTTTGTGATAAGGTTTACCAAGTAAGAAAGCATTTGTATCTGTATGTAGTTAAATACAAAATGCATATAACAACGATTTTTCAACAATTTCAAACCGCCATTAAGACGGCTAACCACTTTTCATACAATCGGATCCAAATATTAATATATAAAAGTGCATTAAAAGTTGAAACTAAAAGTGTCCCTTTTGACATCAGGTAGCCATTTTATCGTTTAAAAGAGGCAAAAAAAGTTTCACCTTTCTTAGTTAAAGATACCTCCAAACCATGTTAAAATCAATATTTATAATGCGATAACAGTATTTTAGAAAAGATATTGTTTGAAATTCGATATTGCCACCTAAATAAATGTCTCGTGGGTAACAGGTCAGGTCGTTAGTTGGGATTGGATTGCACCTTGTTTGCAAAAAATAGCAACGCTTTCAAATGTCTAAACACTTCCAAAATGTATGCATAATTTCAATTCTTTAGGTGAATATATTATTACGTCTGTATAGGTAAAGCCGTTTAGTGTTTCATTGGCATCCAAATGGACTTGGTCACCCATAAAGTTTATAAACCTGCATCTTCTTTAAGCACATAATCGCTTGACACCTTTTTTGTTTGATTGGACCCCAGATGCTTAGATCCTATGCCACGGCAAACATAGTTTGGGGTTTCTCAGCACAATTTTCAGCACTGGAATATGGAGCTGCATAGTGCCTGTATTCAAACGGTACGAAAAAACAGCCCGGGGCGACACACGGGTGGCAGTGCCGTAGTAATTGATAAAACATGCCGCTTATTTGGTCTGCTCGACTCGTTTAATGATTTACTGTGGAACTTTTCACACCTTTGCCATAAAGGCACAATGGTTTCCAGAGTCAAAGGGTCATTTAATCCTTTGATTTAACCTTGTATTGTAAAAACGGAATGTTACATCACCAAAGAACATATCAATATAATGAAAACGGAGCGGTGCCTCGTTCCTGTTCCTGCACGCGACAGGTACTGTTTTAGAACTGAAATTGAACAATTTGAAGCCATAAACCAGCAAACGCGAATACTTAGAATAAAAAAACCCCAAAAAATGCAAGCACCTTTGCCTCCAAATTGCTATCCTTCAAAAACTGTGAGTGTATCATAACTCGGTAATGAAGTACCAGAGTGGAAAATGGCCGTGTGGTCACAATTTAAGATCTGTTCTTATACAAACAACAACCCCCTAACTTTCGCCTGAGGTAATGTAGCGGTAAATAACCCCTTATTTACCCACATACAATTGCATGATGTTTTCAATCCAGTTGAGTAAAGACAGTTTTCGGATTAAAGAAACTTGAGAATTTCTCTTTGACAAGCCCATGTGAAAACGTCATAATAAGTTTCATTTGTATTTGCATGCAGGGAACGGATTTGAATAGCAACTGCTGGAAGTTCATTTGAAATAGGAATGTTTCTCTGTGTGATATTTGTTCCCAGGTCCGGGGTTCCAGACTCCAAACCCAACTTTAAGACTTTTATAGAAGGCAGTTTATAATAATTCGGCTAGATTAACATGATTTGGATGGTTGCGATCGTTGAAGTTGAACTTCTTATTGAATTACAGAACCGAAATATATGGCATACTCGAAACTACTGAAGATTTTATCGTCTCTTGTGTATAGATGGTAAAAAAAGAAAAACGTTTCTTGAGACAATGAACCTGTTTTCTTTGAGGGTTTGGAGTATAACAACATGCTTTTAGGGTTAAATTCGCTCTGTCTCTTGAAACGGCATTCCTTTTTATACAATTTATCTATGTTTCATGTATTTAGATATATGTGCAAACATTTGACTAGGTCTGTTTCAGTAATGCCAACAAGGCACGAGCAGAACATCTTCAAGAATACATACAATTGGACCACTTGGACACAATTGGACCATGCCCCCCCCCCTTTTAAAATTGAACTTGACAACACAGTCGATTTGGGAGTAAGAGAATATTCTAAATTATTTTCCACTTTGGGAAACAAATAATATGTAAAATGCACTGTGATAGGGGCACCCCCATTTCAAAGCATATTTGTTGAAAATGGGTTCTTTTTTGTATAGTTCCCATGTGGTCGCCTTCTAGACACAAAATGAATATATATATATATATATATATATATATATATATATATATATATATATCAATTTTGGACTAAAACCACCCATCAGCGCTTCGTTACTTCTATTTAATGTTTCTTTGACTTAAAACTTACAAAGAATAAATTTTCCCATCTGCCAAACATGCCTTAATTAATCATCTGAGTTATTAATGGTGGTGTTTAACATGCATGTGTTTAACACATAAGCTCTATCAATACCTTTTGTATTATTATTATTCTTAACATACTTAAGTAATGTCCTGCACAGTATCTAAGTATCTATGTTTTGCATTTTTCCTTTACAAAAAAAAAAAAAAAAAAAAAGGGAGGGGGTACATATGTATTTATATTTCAATTCATATGTTATCAACGAACACATTTACTATTAATTTTGAAGAACTCTATATTTAGAATAACAAATTATGGCCGAAGTAATATTTTAAGAGAGGGCAATTAGCATGGACAGGTTCGGGGCAAAAAGAAGTGAAAGTAGAAGCTCCAAAGCTTGAAGCCAGATTCAGGTCACTTAGCAACAGCATATGCCCTTTTTAGGACACACTTCATTTAAGGATACTTTCGGTCCACATTACCGCCCCTGGCTATAGATCAAATCTTGACCAACTTTGATCTGCATCAGCAGCCAATTCATTCAGGAAGCAAATTCTTTCCTTCCACGACAACACGATGATCTATATCTTGGGTTTATTAAAAGCGACAAAGTAAACTAAGAGATGGGTGGGCACAGGATTATGTAAGCCCAGAGAACCGCGATTACCTCTTTAATAAATATCGGCTGTGTTGGCAAAATGACCGAAGGCACAACGCCAGCAGTATTACGATAGTAGTAAAATGTCAATATGAGTAATTCTTTTTTCCTTACGAGGGCATAATAGTGCCCGGCGCTCATAATGAAATTGTGGGTCTCCTATTACACTTGACTTGCTACAAGTAGGAAAACAGAATTTTCTTCAAATTCTAGATTGGTTGGTTTGAACCGTTCTGATGTCATTGCGTAATGTATTACCAACATTTTAAAAGGGGGAATCTTCTGAATAGGCTGCTGTTGATGATGGGCAAACGAACAAACGGGTGGAGTGGTTATGTCCTGTTTCATCATCTTCAATCTTATTCGGAATATTTTATTATTATTCAGAATTACAGAAAAAAACTTCCATGATACGAGAGATGTTAATTTTTTTCTGTTACAAATATCTGTCATGTTAGACTTAAATGAACATGCCATAGTTCTTGCCTTTCAGGAGGTGAAAGCGGTAACACACTAAGTATATGGCAGCTACTGGTACAACTTAACGGTGCTCCTCTGACTTTCGTAATTTGTATTGTTGTCCAAAGCTATAATTCCCACTGGATTCTTAAATTTATGGATCAACCAAGCCAAACCGACAGACCATCTACACATATGAAAATGTTTAGCACGTTAATTAGAAAAATAAATTATATACGTTATATGTTAAAAGACACAAAAAGACGCAAAAGACTCAATTTAAAGGTCACAGACACCGTTACACGGCATATTCCAAAATGCAAAAAGGTCACAGATACAGGCGGATTCCAATTAAAAAGGAAACTTAAGCATGCAATGTAATCACAAGTAAATTAAGGCATGAATACCTTCTCGTTTACACAAAAATTCAAATAGAGAAAGAAAAAAATCATACGGTACATATCAGATATCTGATTTGACGTCTGATTATCTTAGTTCTGCTACTACTACTACTTCTACTACTGCTACTACTGCTAACGAGCTGAAACAAAAAAATTATGCGTTACAAGTTGGGAAAACTCTCAGTGAAAATTTAGAATACATCATAATACATTATTGTGTTCAGATAAAAATCTCAAAGGTACCTTTCTATGATATTTTTGAGTAATTCGTTACTAAGCGTGTTGCTCTACTTTCCACTGCTCAACGCGTTATTTTAGTGTTTACTTTAAAATACGCCTACTGTCCATGGTGACAAGTTTTATCTCTGTCTTAAAATCCATCTCTCATGCTAATTCAAATTTCACTTTAATTAAAGGTACTATAAAGGTACCTCTTTCACGCGAATTCAAATTTCACTTTAATTAAAATTATCTATAAATTTTACTATAAAGTAATTTTAGGTAAAAATATTCTCAAATTGTCGTAAAATAGTCTTTTGCATTTTCGAATTCAATATTCACGTGCAGATGAATTTTTCTGAATCTCCCGGTATTCTTAGTTTCTCAAAACACAAGCTTAGAATCAACCACTTAAATGAAGTAAAAAAAATTACAACTTGTATATGAATCTTAGTATAGTTTTAAAAATTATATTACAAAATTTCGAGAACTTTAAAAAAAAACGAATCTATGTATAGTCTTAAACTAATATTTCAAATAATTTTCCAAAAAC